AAAATTACGGTAATAGCATGTATATTCCCTTAAAAAAAAGTTATTTATAAAGTTGGGGCTGGAGTTCAGTGGATAAGACCACTGGCTGCTCTTTCAGAAGACCCAGGTTTAACTGCTAACACCCACTCACAACTATCTGTAACTCAAAACCCAAGGGATCTGATGCCCTCTTCTGGCCTCTAAGAGCACTATACCAGAGCTGGGTGTACAGACATAATGTAGGTAAAACACTCATACATATAAAATAAAAACCAATAATAAAATAAAACGTAGGGCTCCCATTAGCATTATACTGAAAATGTTTCAACGTTTGGCCATCATCCCCAGTGATTTTGATTCATTTCCTCTGCAGGACCTAGGAACAAGTTGGCTTTTTTAATTAGTAAGTTTTTTCCCTTGGGATAGTGTGCTAGTAGCTTTAGTCATTATCTGAGAAGGGAGGATTACCCAGATTATCCTGTGCACACATTCCTGTGGGGTTGTCTTGGTGGTTGTCTTATGTAAGAGGGCATAGCCCTCTGTAGATGGTATTATTTCTCTAGGCATGTAGTCTAGCCAAGCAAGCCAAAGAGCAGGCTCTGTGCTTCAAGTTCCTGCTTTTACGTCCTTCATTGATGGACTATAGCTTGTAAGCCTGTATAAATGATTTCCTCTCCTAAGCTGCTTTTGGCAAGAGTGTTTTTCTAGTTTGTTTTGTTTTTGCTTTTTCTAGACAAGATTTCTCTGTGTAGCTCTGGCTGTCTGGGAATTCCATCTGTAGATCAGGCTGACCTTGAACTCAGAGATCTGCCTGCCTCTGCCTACCGAGTGATAGAATTAAAGTCATATGCCACCATGCCCAGAGGTCAGAGTGGCTTGTTGTTGTTGTTGTTATTTTTAATCTCAACACCAGAGATAGAACTAAAACCAATGCACCTTTTTGTTGACCAATCTGGGTTTTGATGTCTTGGGCTCCGGCAAGACTCTCGCATGAGCCTCCTCAGTAGCAGTGACTGCCTAAGCACAAACCACCCCAGTTTTATAAAAAGCAACTCATACTTTTTAGATCAGTTTATTTTTATGTGTGTAGGTGTTTTGCCTGCCTGCATGTCTGTGCCTGCTGCCCTTGGAGGACAGGAGAGGACAACAGATCTGCTGGAATTACAGATGGCTGTGAATGAGCCACTCTGTGCTAACACCCAGGTCCTCTGGAAGACCAGCAAGAGCTCTTAACCACTAGTCTATCCAGTCCCCCAAAAGCAGCTTTTTAAAGGTAGCAAGAGATGTTGGAGGATTGGGAACAGAAATCAGAAAGAAACATACCAATGTATGCTCAACTGTACCAGCTGTCTGGAGGGGAAACCATGTCATTAAGACCCCTCTTGCAACCAGAGTGGCCTGTGTGAATGATGTACATATAAGGTTGCTGCTGGTGGAGAGTTCAACCCTAAAGTTGTGTTAGCTAAGGAAAAAAAAAAGTAAAGCAGGCACAAAGAAAAACTGGAAATGTCAAACCTTTGTCCTATAGTTGCCCTGGAGACAAGTCAACACTTTTTACCCGGGTCTCACTCCAGCTTCAAGCCTTCACTGTGAACCAGGGAAAGCCTCAAGGACAAAATTCTGTGGTTCCCCTAATATCTAAAATCAGTTTCCGAGTAAGTTGTTCCGAAGCCTCTGCGTCAATTATGGGCTACTGCCAAGGTGCTCAGACACTCACCTTTGACTGTTCAGGTTTGTTTCATCTTCCCACTTAACCAATAAACCTGCTAATTTTACTTTACTCTAATTTCATGCAGAAATTCTTTTCTGTCAGACAACAGGAACCTGGGTGAAGAAGAGTATCACACCCAACCCCAGGCCAAAATGTTGAGTTACATTCCTGTTTCCAGTGTCTGGAATGGCTTTGATAATAGTTCAGCAGGTGAAGTTTCGAGGCATTTCCTGATGTAGTCTTCATGAAGTAAATGAAGAAACACTCATGGAAAAGGCAGGGCTACCTCTGCAACTTACACACACACCCACCCACACACACACACACACACACACACACACACACACTGAAAACACAGGGAACATCTGCCCTCAACCACCAAATCACCATAGTAATAAAGCCCTTCTCAGAGCATGGATGATCGACATGGACGAACCATACAACTTTACCAGTCAATAGCCAATAGCCCTTCAGAGAGAGAAAATAAATTACCCAAAGCGCGTTGATGGATACAATTAAAGAAGGTGTTCTGCTTAACTCAGTTAACTTCTCCAGAGCAACTAGACACAAGACAAAAGCTTGACATTTCCAGTTTTGCTCTGTGTCTGTCTGCTTTGCTTTGAAGGCTGGAAACGTTTTCATTAGCTAACACAGCTTTAGAGATGAACTCTCCACCAGTAGCAACCTTGTATGTACACTACTCACACTGGCTACGCTGGTTGCAAAAGGGGTCTTCCTTCCTTTCTTCCTTTCTCCCTCCCTCCCTCCCTCTCTCCCTCCCTATTTCTCTCCCTTTCTCTCCCCCTCTCCCTCCCTCCCTTTCTCTCTCTCTCTCTTTCTCTCTCTTTCTTGAGACAGGGTTTCTCTGTGTAGCCCTGGCTGTCCTGGAACTCACTCTGTAAACCAGGCTGGCCTCGAACTCAGAAATCCACCTGCCTCTGCCTCCCAAGTGCTGGGATTAAAGGCATGCGCCACCACCGCCTGGCAAAAGGGGTCTTAATGACACATGGTTTCCCTTCCAGACACTTGGTACAACTGAGCTCAAAGCAATGTCCTCTAATTTTGTTTCTGCACAGGGGTTAATAATACAATATTAGATTTCCCTCACCATGCAACTCACAAATTCATACTCCTTTACTTTCAGTTCTGTGAGGGCTAAAGTTTTGTGATAAGTTTTAACTACTATGCTTAAGAGATCTACAAAACAAAAATGCCTCTAACCCTGAGGCTAACTTGCCCAAAGACAGACAACTCCCTGGAATGCTGGGGGCTGTTGTTCATGTCAGATAACAAGCCAGGTGTTTTCACTTCCATACACAAGGTTGGTTGCTCCAACTGCACAGGATGTGCTTGGTCACATGTAGGCAGGAAGTATGTCAGGATGTGTGCTTGCTCCTAATTGGAGGAAGGTGGGGCTTGCCATTATAAGCCCGTGTGATGTAATTTGCAGCCATGCTCTGGGAATCCCAGGTAGGGACCCAGCCTGACCAGTATCTAATAAAGTCTGCTCTACATTTTGCTCAAAAAATTGTGGTACTAGTTTTATTCTCATCTGGTGGGATTAACATTTCCTCTTACTGCTTCGTATATCATTGTAATGTCACAACATGGTGATATAGTTTTCAGACAGCAATAGGGTCTAGTGAGGGTGTTTCATCACCCAGAACACTGCTGTGATGGTTTCAATGATATGCCCACATAGTCTAGATATCTGAATATTTAGTTTCTGGTTGGTGGCATCGTTAGGGTAGGTTCAGGAGATGTGGTCTTGCTGATGGAAGTAGGTCACTGGGGGCAGGCTTTGAGAATTAAAAGACTTGTGCCAGTTTTAGTTTGCTCCCTCTGAATTTTGCTTGAGGTTCAGGATGCCCTCAGCTTGCTGTTTCAGTCACCATGGCTGCCTGCTGCCTGCCAGGCTCCCTGCTGTGACAGTGATGGGCTCCTATCCCTCCAGAAGTGTGAGCCCAAATAAACCTTACACACACCCATTTATCACTGCAACAGAAAAGCAACTACTACTCAGCAGAAATGTCACCACACCCAAGGTCATCTGCTCCATACTTAAAAGCTAACATCCAGGGAATGAGAGTTGGAGAAAGGAAATCAGGCTTCTTCAAGAGTCAGTATTCTGAGAAGATCCTCTCCCCTCAAACTTCCATAGTATGGAACTCAGTGCATGAAAACCCTTTCACAAGGAGGGAAAGAAGGTGGAGAGGTCAAAGGGTAGGAAATGTATGACATGCTGCATAGGATCTTTGCCATCTAGGACTCTTGTCTTTATTCTCTTGTCATAATCAGCCTTGAACTCCTGTGGCTAGCTCATGTAATTCTTTAGGTAAACACACTACTATATGTACCACAGAAATGTATATTAAATATATACTCGATGTAGGTACAGCTCTCCTGTAAAAAGTTCACACCTTTGCTTAGATATGTTTATTCTTTCCCTGAACATCTCTTTTAACCCCTACGCTTAAAATCTATGTTTACAATGTCTTTTAACAAACTCTTCCTCTGTTTCACACTGTTGTTCTGAAATTCTCTAGGGAGAAGAGAACTCTACAAGCTATTAGTGGCCACAGAGTGGAGGTGTGCCTCCTCCTTGTTGCCTCTGACATGTCAATCCTGGCTTTGCACAACAAAACCCAGACATGCAATCCTACCTCCGTTCAGGAGCAGGCCCTTTGCCAACGTTCAGTTATTTTAAAACTATCGGTTTTTTAAATTGTGTATGTGCACACGTGTGAAATACATGTCGATCCCTCACCTTCCCACTTACTTTGCTCATATCAAATGATCCAGCACAATAGGATCGTGCTCATCATTAAACTCTCACAATGTTATAAACACATGTAGCCATTAAACTTGACTCAGTTCATAATTTTCTAATTGCAAGCAAACAAACCAAAGAATCAAATACACAGAGACAGAATAACGCAACAGGACTGGAATACTCTAGAGAAGATAATCTCCACCAACCACCACTGACTATTGGTCGTCTGTAAGTTCCAATAGATGAAGGGCAGTGGAATACAGTTAGAAAACTCAAACGAGACATATCCGTGGTATTAAAATATTGCTAGGCGATTCTTATTTTTATAACCATTAGTACCTTTAAACTAACCATAAACAGAGTTTTTCCATGCATACTGCAGGAGGTGTCTCAGCCAAATTGATGAAAGAAGAAACCTCCTGGGGTTGAGGGCGTCCGCGCTCCCTCCAACACGCGCCTCCCGGTGCGCAGGCGCAAACCCCGCCCCTTAGTCCCCGCCCCATGACCCAGCCTCCCGTCAAGCACCGCGGGAGTGGCTGTGGCGGTAGCGACTGAGGCGGCAGTATGGAGGGCGAGAGCACGTTGGGGGTGCTGTCTGGCTTCGTGCTCGGCGCGCTCACCTTTCATCATCTCAACACAGACTCAGACACGGTGAGCCGGGCGCGGCTGCCGACCCCGCCGTCCCTGTCCGCCCCGCGGGTTCGCGGATCAGGGCGCCCTCCCCGGCTCTCATCCGGGCCCTTTTTATGTGCTCACGCTTGGGCGTGGAGGAAAGTTCCCGGGGCCTCCGGCTCGGCGAGAAAAGTCAGGCAGCTTTCTTGCCCCATTACCCTGCTGTGCGAAGGATTCCGGCGCCGTTTCCTACCCGCAGCGCGCGTGCGCCCCTAGAATCGGGAGTACGGGCAGGGCGAGCTACACCGCGGCCAGTCGCAGGGTTTGGCCAGTTCTAGGGCAAGCCTGGCATGAGGTTGTAAGATCCGGCTCCTTCTGTTCTACTTTCCGTTACAAACGCAGTTTGTCCAGGATCAGATGTGTAAATGCATTTTTAAGCCTTTGCCTACTTTCGAAGCCATTGAGTGACATTGAAGACAAATTTTAAGCCTGTTTTTTAAAACTTAGGAGATTAAAAACTTACTGTAAAACTTTGAGAGCTGGCAGTAGCATCTTATGATAAGTTCTTAGTAACATAAAAAGAAACGAGAAACATGTAAAATGAGTTTTGGGACTGCACTACTATAGTGCAGAGAGTACCATACTGAACAGTGTGGAGTAACTTATGTGAAGTGTTGGGTCCTTTGCTTTGAGTGTCAGATCTGCGTTGCCTAAAGATGCTTCTCAGCACAGTCCAATGATAAGGAGTGTACAATAATTTGATGTACATTACATCAAAATACCAAGAAGAAACAAATGACATCTTTGTGCGTTGAGCTCACCCGGGTAGCACAAAATAATGACTTATACTGAAATTAGCATGGCTCTACAGGAGAATGATATACAAATTGAAACACTTCATATTTTAAAAAAATACATATGTGGGACTTATTTTAGATGTTTAGTGTGATCGTAAGTAAACTGCCCTAAATCTGTAGTTTATAGGATTAGCCCTTGTAAACTACATCTTGGTGTTAGACTCTAGTTTCTCAGATATTTTAACTATAGTTTTTTGTTTGGAGATTCATTTATTTAATTTTTTTTACATTTTTTTAAAAGATTTATTTTATGTATATGAGTACACTGTCTTTGTCTTTAGACACCAGAAGAGGGCATCGGATCCCATTATAGATGGTTGTGAGCCACCATGTGGCTGCTGGGAATTACACTCAGGACCTCTGGAAGAGCAGTCAGTGCCCTTAACCGCTGAGCCATCTCTCCAGCCCAGATTCATTTATTTTTTTGTGTGTGTCTGTTACCTACTGAACAACTGTGGATCACAGATGGGCAGTGTCCATGTAGGCCAGAAGAGGGCATCACATCCCCTGGAACTTAATGGAAGATACAGATGTGGGCACTGAGAACTGACCCTGTTCTTTTTCAAGAGCAGCCACTGCTCTTAATGACTGAATCATCTCTCCAGCTCACCTAAAATTTTTAGAGTTGGTTTCTGAATAATTGTACCTAGAATTGACTGGTACTTTTCCTAGTTTTTAACATTGGGAGTATCAAAATCAAGAACATCTGCAATTACAGATTTTTACTCACTTGATTCTGTTAAAAGACTGGGACATTCCTCTGTGTTTTTTGTTTGTTTGTTTGATTATTTTGATGAATGGAGGAAGGACATTATAAACTAATTTTAATGACTAGAAGAGTTCACTTGATCTTTAAATGCACTTAAAGAAATAACTGAGTCACTGAAAGGAAAACAAAAACAAAAAACAAAAACCTGCCCTTATTTTAAAAGAAAACAGGTACACAGTAGACCCCTTGGGGAGCAGATGCTGTAATTGAATTACCAATCTTTATTTTTTCATATTTTTTAGACAGATTTAAATCTGAAAACATTGATCACTTTGGCATTCCATAGCTAAGAAACTTCCACTGATGCCCAGAAATATGTGTAAAATCCAGACTTTGGAATACCTCGTTGTGGTTTAGCCTCTCTTTACAACTGCCCACAGGAGCCTTGTGCTTGAAGACAAACTGCTCTGCTGGGCTCTTAAACAGATTTTAAGCTTTTATGCTTTTGATTTGGGGGTACTGCACTCTCTGCCTTCCCAAATTACTACCCTCAGCCCTTTAAAGTCAGTGCCACTCTGTCTCCCTCCCAGCCTTTCCCAGTTACTCATGTGCCCACTACCTGTAACACACTGCATATTGTGAAATGCCGAGAAAATATGAGGAGACAGAACATTGGTCCTATTCAGTGTGTTTTTATATACTGCTTCTCATGTTTACTCTCATAGGAAGGTTTTCTCCTTGGTGAAATGAAAGGTGAAGCCAAGAATAGCATTACTGATTCACAGATGGACAACGTTAAAGTCGTTTATACAATCGGTGAGTCACTTAGTTCTGGGTGGTTTTGGTAGTTTGTATGCTGAGTGTAAACATAAATGTTGTTACTTTTACTTTTCATTTTAGTTGTGAGGAATATACACGTGTCTAGACTCCTGTGTTTGTGTGTGTGTGTATTTAAACTGTTAAAATATATACCTTAATGTTTTTAAAAGCACTGAAAAAAAAGGAAAAAGAAAGAAAAGAAAAAGAAAAAAAGCCCAAAAAACAAAAGCGTGGGTGCAGTGGTACACACTTGTAACCCCCACACTTAAAAAGTGGAGGCAGGAGGATCAGATTCAGCTCTGGACACTCGCCCTTGTCTAGGGAGTGTAACACTTGTAGTTCCAGGTGGGACTCCAGGTTGGATGGACTTTTAGCCCTGCACATCTGGGGGGGGTCACTTGATTTCTGAGTAAGAGTGGGCTGTCTTAGGGGTGTGTCCAAAGAGGGAATGAGTACTGCATAGTGAAGCTCCTAACCTGAGGCAAAACGTTCCTCAGTGTGTTGGGCAAGCGATTAATACACTCATAACTAGAAATCCTTTTTCTCCTAGACATTCAGAAATACATTCCATGCTACCGGCTTTTTAGGTAAGTAACAGTAAAACAAGTAAATTATCTGTTATGAAAATTGTTTGCAAGTTGAATAATTTTAAAAACTAACGGTTTCTTAGTAACCAGACATGGTAACTTAGTATCTTGGTTACATGGATGTTTGGTTTTTTGTTTTGTTTTGTTTTGTTTTTTCAGTATCCAAGGTATACTAGTCCATGTCAACTGCGTCTGTAATTCTTCATTAGTTGTATTACCTTTAGCTGCCTCCACTGCCTCTGAAAAAACAGTTTTCTTTGAGAATTGCTTTTTCTTCTCATACACAATCCTCTTGTTGCATATTATAAACTAAGGACCGACATGTACTCTAATGTCACTAGCAGTCAGCAAGCAAACAGATATAACCATAGTATGGTGTCATTTTAAAGGCTGCTTTATGATTTATATCAGCCACTCAAGAAAAATAATCACTGTTGTACGTTTATACACTTTGTATACATGTCTAAGATGGTATGAGTTACAAAGGCATACAGGGTAAAGAAGGATCTGTGGGGAAAGAGGGCACGACAAGACAGCCTGGTGTGTTCTTAAACTGATAGAGCAGGAAGAGTCAGCCTTCTTATCATCCATTAATACACACTGGACATACAGATCTGTTCACTGGGTGAGGAATGACTTCTTAGTGGAACCTCCTAAAAAGGACTTCTTGAAGGGCCTTCTGGACCAGCAAAGAGACAATAAAAAGTGAACCTGTGTTTCTGGGCAACTACATTAAGAATCAGGCTAATTTAGTAGTGTCTGAGCCACAGAAACCACCTGATCCACTAATGTCTGGGCCTTGTCAGTTCTGAAGGTAAAGAGGACATGAGAGCTATCTGGAAACACCTTTCATTCATAAAGCTACTGTACACTTCCTCTTCAGTTAGAACCAGAATACTAAGCTGAAGTTCATGATTTAGTGGAAACCACAGAACTGTTTAGTGTAGTGATTCTCAACCTGTGAGTAGTGGCCCCCTTGGGGTGTTGAATAATCCTTTTACAGGGGTCACCTAAGACCACTGGATAATAGAGATATTTATATTATGATTCATAACAGTGGCAAAATTACGGCTGTGAAATAGCAATGAAAATAATTTTATGGTTGTGGGTCACCACAACATGAACTGTATGTATTAATGGGTCACAGCATTAGGAAAGTTGAGAACCACTGACTTAATGGTAAGGCAAACTAGAAGAAATGGGGTGGGGGTGGGAATGCAACCTGGGCGTGTATGCTGAGCAAGTTCCTGCCAAGTCCCAGCCCGGCCTCTGGGATTTCTAACAACCCATCATGTTGGTATGTCCCCCTTACAAATAACTTACGTGAGTATATGTAAAACGAAGTCTTCTGATGACATCTCTCCTTTTTTTTTGGGGGGGGGGGTTCGAGACAGGGTTTCTCTGTGTAGCCCTGGCTGTCCTGGAACTTACTCTGTAGACCAGGCTGGCCTTGAACTCAGAAATCCGCCTGCCTACACCTCCCAAGTGCTGAGATTAAAGGCATGAGCTACCACTGCCCGGCTGATGATATCTCTTAAAGTCAAAGCTAGATACATATTAATATGGCTTTCTTTGACAGCCCTACTAGGATTGTGAACATAGAACCCTGTGAGCAGTTGTTATACAGCCCTTCATCTAAAGATGTCATGGGGGAGTAAGAGAAGGGATTTACGGTAGGAAGCCGAGATGGGTGGAGAAGCTTGGCATGGTTCAGCTGGCAGTTTACAGATAGGTTGTGCCAGCTCTACACCAACTATATTGCTTCTCAGACTTCAATTGAGTACACTGATTGGCTCATCTCAGAAGTCTACAAGTTCCTTAAAAACAGGTCATTGGAACCTAAAACTTAGTAACTTAAAAATTAACACTTAAGTATGAGTTCTTTTGTATTGGGGTTTTTTTGGTTTTGGTTTTGGTTTTTCTTTTTTTTTTTTGTTTTTTCGAGACAGGGTTTCTCTGTGTAGCCCTGGCTGTCCTGGAACTCACTCTGTAGACCAGGCTGGCCTCGAACTCAGAAATCCACCTGCCTCTGCCTCCCAAGTGCTGGGATTAAAGGCGTGCCACCACTGCCTGGTGGGTTTTGTTTTTTCAAGACAGGGTTTCTCTATGTATCCCTGGCTGTCCTGGGACTTGCCTTTTTGCCCAGGCTGTCCTCGAACTCACAAAGATCCATCTGCTTCTGCCCCCTGAGTGCTGGAATTAAAGGCTTGTGCCACCATGCCTGGCCTTTAAGTATGAATCTTTACAGCATATCCTTTTGGGGAATGAGGAGACAACAGGGCTCTTGATTGTAGCCCAGGCTGTCCTAAACCTCCAGATTCTTCTGCCTCAGCCTTTCAGGTGCTAGATTATAAGCATGTGCCACCACATATTATTATTTTATCTCCTTTCTCTTCCTCCTCTCTGTTCCCTTCTCCTCTGGGGATTGAACCCAGGAACTGGGCATTGGTTTCTGGAGCTGTCAAGATTTCAATCACAAATGTCATACCAGATGTCTTTCAACAAACCCAGCTACCCCTCAGCCCATTAAAACATTTTTAATGGGGATTTTTTTTCTTGTGGTACTGAGATTGAACCAAGGGCTTTACTTATGCTAGGTAAGTAGAGTCATCCCAGGTATTTTGTTTGAAATATTGTCATAATAAGTTATTGGCTGGCCTTAAACTCACTCATGTAGCCTAGGCAGGCCTTGGACTTGAGATCCACTTCCCTTAACCTGTTTAGTAGTTGGATTTATAGGCCTGTACCACCAAGCTCAGCTTAAACATGTTACCAAATAGGATATAGCTGGTCAGTTCCATGTAAATAAATGTTTCTAGTATATATTTAAGGATGTCAACGGGGGAAAAACCCTATAAAGTCTTACAGGGTTTTGTTTAGTATTTCAGCTTATAAAAAGGAATTTTATCACCTCAATGCTAAAGAGAAGAACTAGGACTGAGAAGGTGGCTCCACTGTTAACTCCCTGCCACACAGGAGTGGAGACCTCAGTTTGGCTCCAAGTTTGGTGAGGCATGGTCAAGCAATAAGGTAGTGAGCGACTGATGAAGGAAACAGCATCACCCTGTGGCTTTTCTGTGTGTGCACACCTGATTACAATAGTACACACGCACGCACGCACGCACGCACGCACGCACGCACTAGCCCCACACAGGGAAGGAACTATTACCTGGGGTCTCTCACAGGAAGAGAAAACAAAGCTGCAAGCAAATGGTTTAGAACAAATTTACCCTCCCCTTCCCAATCCCCCCAAATACCCTGGCCATACAGCTTTTGGAATTAGCAATGAATTCATTATTCATTCTATATTCTATCATAGGTTATCAGTTATCAGGAAGTGAACTGAGTTGTGAACTGCCTATATGAATGGTCTGATTCTTGTATTTTAATGAATATTGTCCTGATTTAGTTTAGAAATGTGATAGACAAACTCATACCTAGAAGTTTTTCTATTTTTTTTGTTGTTGTTGCTTATGGACATAATGTTAATGTTAACTATTTAAATGTTAATTTTTAATTTTTCTCTATTATTATTGGAGTTCATATGATAAGCAAGTAGATATACATTTTGGTTTGGATAGTATGGGCTAGGAGTAACTAAAATTAAAAATGCTAATAAAATTACTCAAATTTCTATCTTACTTAAAAACTTTAATTTTTATTTTTATAGCTTTTATAATTCTTCAGGTGAAGTAAATGAACACGCACTGAAGAAAATTCTTTCAAATGTCAAAAAGGTATTACCTTTTCTTTGTTAGTATTATTTGCGCTATTTTGTGATCCTAAAAAAAAACCAGTACTTTTACAGAACTCTGAAGCAGTATTAATGACATTCACAAGAGCATATAAGAAAAGACTTATTCTTCCCAGAAACTCAGGCAGTGTTTCTCTGAAAGCAAAGCTTCTCATTAAAAGTATCTATCTTTGGGGCAACAGAGAATGCTTAGTGCTTAAGAACACTGGCTGCTCTTCCAGAGGACTTGGGTTTGGTTCCCAGCACCCATGTGGCAGCTCACAACCAGATGTCAATCCAGTCCAAGGGGATGTAATGCTTTCTTCTGTCCTCTGTGGATACATGTATGCACATAGTACACAGACATACAAGCAGGCAGAAAGTAAAATGGAAAACATATCTTACTGTTCCTTTGACCACTATGATTACACTGACTTCTCTGGCTTCCTGCTTAACCACAGCCTTTTCCAGTCTGATTTATTCTAGGAGTTAATCCATTTCTGTTACTTTCACATAGCTGAATTTTATTATTGTTGTTGCTGTTGTTATTTATTGTTTCAGACTGCAGAATTTAAGTAACTGGGACTCCAGAAGTATGTCACAGAGCCTGGCTTTGCAGTTACTATTTTATACAAATGGACTTTTCCTATATAGCAATTACATTTAAACCTTCCATGTACTTTGTGTTCAGATAAAAGTTATTGAACATTCAGAATCCCACCCCCAATCTAATGCTTTTTTGAGCATTTTTGTCTTTAAAATTTTATGTATCTGAGAATAAAAGTAAATTTCAGGAAAAGTTTTAGTCACTTGGGATGGTAACACATGTCCAATTTTAGAATGTAAGTAGATTTAATAATGTAAGTTCTTTCAGATAATGGGTGTATACATGTAGTCCTAGATATGTGGGAAGCCAAGACAGAACAGGATTTCAATTTTGAGGCCTGCTAGGCAAGCCAGTGAGATCCTGACACCTGCAAGCCAAAAAAAAAAAAAAAAAAGGAAAGAAAAGGGCTGTGGCTGTGTGCTCGCCTGCTGTGCTTGTATAAAGGATCTGGGTGCAGTTTTCTAGCACTAAAGCACAGGCCTGATGCCTGAGCTCAATCTGTGGAGGGAGAGAACTGAGTCCTGTTTGCTGTCCTGTGACCTCCCCATGGATAAAGTGTTCATACATACCTTCATACATGCATAAATACATGCATACACATGTAAAAGTATCTTAAAAGAAAATGGTTGAACTTATACTTGGAACCAATAAGATGCCTTAGGGGAAAATGTGCTGGCTTTGAAGCTAGATGGCCTGAGTTTAATCCCCTGACTAATAGGATGGATAGAGGGAGACAAATGACTCTCACAAGGAGTCTTCTGACCACCACACTTCATCTCCACATGCACGTGCATGAGTGCACGCATGCACACACACATACACGCCCCATGTGCACACTGCACAAACACAGAGTAAGTGTAATTTACTCTTAATTTGATTATTTAGGAAGTGTATCTAGAGAACATTTTCCTTCAAAAAGAATATGTTTTGTTTTTTGAAATAACCTCACCATGTAGCCCACTTCATCTTTGAGCTTGTAATCCTTCTCTGAATTCCAAATGCTGAGATTACAGGGACAAGAGCCATTTCTAATTTCTTGGCTTTAGTGTACAAATAAATATATGGTGGATTTTTGTTGTTCTAATTACTATTCAGTAATGAGAATTACTTTCCAGTTTAAGAGTTTATTAATGTTAACCATGAGTATGTTGGACCAGGTCTTCATGAATGCTACATAAGTACTGAGCTATACCAGTTCATACTGATTTAACAACAACCACACTTGTTGCCTTGCAATCCCTAGAAATACCAATGCTATTATTTCACATAGTAGGGAGTCACTCCCTGAAAACATTCATATCCTGTGTAAACACTTGATTTGTTAAATGTTAAACTGTTTAAATTGATTTTAAGATCATTTGAAAGGTTTTTGTAATTAAGTATATTCTTGATTTATTATAACCCAAGCTTTACCAACGCTTAGAAAAGCCATTTTAAGACAGGTAGGTTTTGCCAAGCTTACTGGTGATGCCTTAATCCCAGCACTTGGGAAGTAGAGGCAGGTGGATCTCTGAGTTTGAGGCCAGCCTGGTCTATACAGAGAGACACTGGCAAACTTTTTTGTTTAGTTTTGTTGTGTCCCCGGGCTATACCACAGTCCTGTTGCCTTAGCCTCTAGTGTTCTGGAGCCACTGGCAGCTACTGCCTCAAGACCATTAATTTTTCCTGTATTCTCTTCAGACTGTGGTGGGTTGGTATAAATTCCGTCGTCACTCGGATCAGATAATGACATTTAGAGAGCAGTTGCTCCACAGAAACTTACAGACGCATCTTTCAAGCCCAGAGCTTGTTTTTCTGTTGTTAACACCAAGTATAACAACAGAAAGCTGCTCCACGCACTGCCTGGAACACGCCTTATATAAACCTCAAGGGGGGTAAGTATTAGCTGGCCTGGCTATTCTAAGTAGAATTTTTATAGTGCTTTGTAGCTCTAAGTGTCATCATACAGTGTTGCACTGGGTGTCATAATAATGGGAAAGTAAACCTTAGTGTTACAGATAGATGATAGGCTAGGCAAGGAAATGGAGCCCAGGGGGAGTGATGACTTAGAGTCTTGTGTCCTGGAACCTAAGTGTTACTGTATTTATGTGAGTGTGGACTGCTGTAGATACAAATTCATCAAAGTCTTGATGGCTTACTACAGTAAGTCCAAGCAGCTTCCTTGGGTATATTTATATTCTTGAATATAAGAATTAAGTTAAAAGAGTACTACCAATTAAGGTTAATTTTATTGCTTATGGAGGATAAGATAAATCTCAACATAATACCTTAAAGATGAAATATCACTTACCTCAAACACATAGGACTAGACAGAACTAGATACTTCATTCAGATTTTGGAATATTTTATATACCCACTGAAATATCTTGGGTTGGGACAGGCTCAAGTCTAAACAAAAGTTCATACATATCCTATGAATATAACCTGAAGTTAATTTTTTAACAATATTGCACTTTTCTTTTTTTGAGACAGTGTAGCCTAGGCTGGCCTTGAACTTGAGGTCTTATCACTTGAGTCTCTCTAGTGCTAGGATTACAGATAATGGATTATCATACACAGCTTGGAACGTATTTTGGTACTGACCTGGCACATGAAGATCAGATGGGAAATATTCCCTTTGTTTTTGCTGTTTCCTTGAGACATGGTGTCACCATGTAAACAAAGCTGGATAAGGAATCAGTAGATTGGCCTGTCTGGCTTTGAACGCACAATCTTCCTGTATTAGCCTTTCAAGGATTTTTTTTTGTGTAACAGTATTCAGAAGTTTTCACATTTTAAGCTGTATATGGTGGTGCACACTTACAATCCCAGGAAGTGGAAGTAGGAGGATTTGAGTTTGAGGTCAGTTTAGCTTATATAATAAGACCCCTATCTCAAATTTCAAGGTTTTGGATCAGGGATGCTAAACTTGTTGTGCCTTTGTGGTGGGCTGAGGACACAGTGTAGGGTTCACACTGGCAGGCAAGAGTCCCTCTGCTGAGCTTCATCTCCAGCAAAATTTCTTTTCCTTTTGTACTCCCTTCCTAAGGCTCTCAGGTAAGTATGGTGGTGCATTCCTATAATCCTTGTGCTTGAGCAAGCGAAGGATTGTGAGTCCAGGTTATGTGGTTATGCTCAGCTGTACAGAGTTTGAAATTAGGTTGGACTACAAAAAAAAAAACAAGTGACATTGCTCAGCTGGTAAAAAGCTTTGTCCTACAAGCCTAAAGACTTGAGACCCATTCCTAAAACCTTCTTAGGAAGAAAAGGAACCAACTTGTGACATTGTCCTCTGACACTAAAACATTGTAAACATCACACAGTATAATAAAAGCTCAAGGTCTCACCTGGGCTGCTTGTCATGGCTTTCAGCTCACAGCTCATATTCCCCAGCCTCCGGGGCAGCTTTACTTCCTTACTTACATGTACATGGCAGGAGAAATAGCCATTAAAGTCTTCACACAGCTCTTTTATGCTATGTACATCTTGACTTTGGTTTCTGAGACAGGGTTTCTGTGCAGCTCTGGCTGTCCTGGAACTGTCTCTGTAGAACAAGTTAGCCTCAAACTTTTCCTGCCTCTGCCTCCTGGTGACATCTTTTAAAAGCTAGTTGCTTCAGGAGCCAGAGATGGGTCAGCAGTTAAGAGCATTGGCTGCTCTTCCAAAGGACCCAGGTTCAAGTCCCAGCACTCATCTGACAGCTCACAATCAGCTGTAACTCCAGTTTCAGGGAGATGCGACACTCTTTTTGGCCTTCAAGGGCACCAGCGATGCACAGACATACATACACGCAGGCAAAACACACACTTTACATACATGCAAGCAAAACAGCCATATACATAAAGCAATAAACATTAAAAGAACTAGCTACTTTAATTTGGCTCATCTGGGAAAATTCTATCTTGCTAAATAATGAGGTGAGGGAGTATTTTAATACTGTTAGAAAAGTAGCCAGCTCTGATGGCAAATGCTGTCCTTTTATTTTAAATTCTATTTTAAACATTTTTTTTCATCAGGCTTTTTCATAGGGTACCTTTGGTGGTTACCAATCTGGGAATGTCTGATCAACTGGGTTATAAAACAGAGTCTGCTTCCTGTACGTCCACTGTCTTTAGCAGAGCTGTAAGGACACACAGGTAAGACTTAACTCACAGATGATATAGGCTAAACGAATCCTCAGATAACTGGAAAATTGTCACCTCAGTGTTTCCTTTTAGACTTGTCTGCTTAAAGGAAATCATTTTCTTACAGTTCTCAATTTTTTAACGAAGATGGATCATTAAAGGAAGTACATAAGATAAATGAAATGTATGCTACTATACAAGAAGAGTTAAAGGTAAGCTAACATGAAGCTCTGAGGGGCCACTTCCGAGCTCACATCAGTAGTTGGCTATGAATTGTTTCATAGAAACAATTGACATTTGTGGGCTGGAGAAATGGCTCAGGAGTAAAGAGCACTGGCTCCTCTTCCAGAGGATCTGGATTTAATTCCCAACACCTACATGGCAGTTCACAACTGTCTGTAATTCCAGTTCCAGGGGATCTGATACCCTCACACAAACAGAAAGACAGGTAAAACACCAATGCACACAAAATAGGTAAGTCTTTTGTTGGGTATATATTGTATTCCTTTGACTGCCATAATAGAGACTACAATCTCTGGTAGATATCTATACAAGTTTAATTTTGTTCTTATTATTTGTGGCTATATTTTCTCTTTCTTCTTTTTTTAAAAGAATGGTCTCACTGGAGCTCTGGCTGTCCTGGAACTTGATGTGTAGGCTGGGCTGACTTTGGAGCTATAGAGATTCAGATTCTCCTGTCCCCTGCCTCTCAAATGCTGGGATTAAAGGCATCTGCCACCAGGCCGTCTCAGTCTTTGTAAGATGAAGGGGGAAGCAGATATTTAGAAGCACAAGCATCACTACAGCATTATAGTCTGCCTTACTGTTTCAGTGTAGCTCACTGTAGAGAACATGAATCCTAACTGCAGACAGCTAATGGGCCAGGAAATAATGGGGGCGGGATAGAGGACTGGAGTGGGATCTGACCGGAAGATGGAGAGTTGTGCCCATCTAAGAAAGCTCAGCTGAGCATAACCTCGACTCATAACCCTGCTCTCACCTAAGCACAGCAATTACAGAAGTGCACCACTCTGCCTGACTGAGACCCTTCCTGTCTTTTTATTTATTCATTTATGATTTGTGCATTAGAGCTCTTTTATTGATAGTAATAAGCCACCATGTGGTTGTTGGGAATTGAACTCCAGACATCTGGAAGAGCAGCCAGTGCTCTTGACCATTGAGCCTTCTCACCAGCCCCTGAGATGCTTTCTTAAGGGAAGGGGAAAAAGTTAAATCCTTAATTGAACAGAGTGCCCCAGAGGCATGTACTAATGTCCTCACTGCTCAGTCACTGCTAGGAGCAGCCCTGGGGAGCTGCGTGGGGTGGACTGGGCGTGCAGCTCAGCTGATGCAGTGCTTGCCTAGCATTCACAGAGCTCTGCTCCCAAGCACAAAATAGTGTGCTGGACACCTGTGTCTGCAACTGGGGAGGTGAAGGCAGGAAGATCACAAGATCAAGCTCATCCTTGGCTACACAGTAAATGGGAGGCTAGCCTGGGATACACAAGGTTTTCTTTAGTAAATTGAAAAATCATGAATCCAAACTGGGAACATCAGTCAGTACCCTCAGTTGGATATCTGAAAAGTCTATTTTCATGGCAACCATACTTGTTAGTAAGAAAAGAAAGGTTAATACATTTTTGTATACTACTAACATTACATACTATATATTATATTATTATTATACTAGTTTTAAAGATTTTTTTTTGATGTGTATATGTTTTTGCCTTCATGTCTTTGTGTACGCCAGAAGAGGCATTTGTTCCCATGGATCTAGAAATACACACAGTTACAAGCTGCTGTGTGAGTGCTGGAAACCTAACTCAGTCCTGTTAACTGCTGAGCCATCTCTAGCCCACAGAGCATTTTATTTGATGAATAAATGCAGCAGAAACTTTAAAGTAACACAGAGCTGTGCTCAGCATACTCACATTCACTGCGTTCCCCAAATCTTTAGCCTCTCTGATCTCTTTAGTGGACATGGACACGGATTCTGCATTTGATTATCTGAATGGTTCTGGGCAAATACCCTAGAAAGGATCCACTACAACTGGTATACTTAAATTCTGACATATAGTTTGAAATTAATGATGCTTGATTTAGACATCATTATTCTGTATAAACCTTTATAAGGTATATTTCCAAAATGGAATTACTCATTCTTCTAAAACTGAGACACACAGCATCAGTTTACTTTTCAAATATAGCTTTTTGTTTTATATAGGAATTATAATCTTCCATGATTTCTCTAAAACATAGTCACTTTTTATCTTACTTTAGTTTTTTGGTTTCATTTTGTTTCCTGGTGTTATGACACAGGCTCTTCTGTAGCCCAGGTTGGCCTTGAACTCCAATATAGATAAGGACAACCTTTAACTGCTAATCCTGCCTCTACATCCTAAATCTCAGTCTTGTTTGGGGGTGTACTTGTTGGGACTTGAACCTAGGCCTCACACATGCTAGGTAAGTGCCCTATCTCTGAGCTCTAGCCTCAGCCCAATGTATATATTTTATTTCAAAATGAATTTTATCTTATTTCTATAATCAACAAAATATCTGGTATATAAGTTCAAAAATCAATGGAAAGTTAACACATCCAAAAAGTATATCATTATGTACAAAACAACATAAACTTGTTATTAAAGTCCTCCAAAAAAATTCCAAATAAAAATAAGGTTTACATGAAAAATAAATGGTATTTTACATTCTGTACTACTGAGAATTTTATATTGTGAGCCTAGATCCCCATTAGTACAAACTTGGAACTTTTTTTATCCGTCCCCTTATTGTATTTTGTAGAGTATATGCCAAAAAGTTGAACAGAGTGAACGAGAAGTAGAGAAACTATTGATGGATGTAAACCGATTAAAAGAAGTTAGAAAAAAACAGCAAGCACAGGCTAAAGGAGCAGGTAAGCAACAGATGCACACAGACTGCCTTCCCTCTGCTCGGGCTCAGTGGACCAGCTGGCTGCTCTAACTGATGACCTGATGTACTGGGATTATGAGTGGTGACCCCACTGCGCTCTTCAGTCTTCCTGGAACAGGGCATTGTAGTGGCTGGGCTGTGTTTGATAAAAAGCAAACAACTGACTTTCTCATACAATAGTATGGCACATAAACAGAGATTTGGGATTATGTCATTCTTATTCTGAATAATCTATCTGTTGGAGTTGTTTATACTGACACAGCTAATTATAAAAAGTTGTGAAGCAGCCGGGCGGTGTTGGCGCACGCCTTTAATCCCAGCACTTGGGAGGCAGAGGCAGGCAAATTTCTGAGTTCGAGGCCATCCTGGTCTATAGAGTGAGTTCCAGGACAGCCAGGGCTACACAGAGAAACCCTATCTCAGAAAAAAAAAAAAAAAAGTTGTGAAGCAAACACGAATTAAGCTCTTTCTTACTTTCTTTAGGAGAGAAGATTGTCCAAGAAAATCCCCAGGAGAACATTCTTCTTTGTCAAGCTTTACGAACATTTTTTCCAGAGTCTGAAGTTCTTCATTCTTGCGTTATTTCTTTGAAAAACAGACATATTTCTCCCAGTGGGTGTAACATTACCCACCATCTTGATGTAGTGGAGAAGCTGACCTTAATGGTGGAGTACGTGTACAGCCCTGAAGCCAGCCCAACGCCTGCAGCCCCGCTGAGTAAGCGGAAAGCCCTAGACACACAAGACCAGTGCTCTGTGAAGAAACCACGGCTGCTAGAGACAGAAAGCAGACCCGTGACAGCACCCCGCAGAAGTCACCAAGACAAAGCTTCCTCAAGCAGCCTAGATATAGACACAGAGATGGGGAGCCCGGAAGATGATGCTGACTATCCTCGCTCTCCTACATTTTGATTCTTTTTAGATGACATTTTTTTACTAGACTGAGGTTTAGGGCACTTGTTTTATTTTTACTCTTTGCCTCCTGGAGTAATACATAGAAAAGTTCATGTTTTTCCTCTATTCAGCTGTTTATAATACATGGATATTTTTATAGTTCAACTGCTTATAATACATAGGTAAGTTAATATTTTATAAAGTATCTTAATTCTTATTTATATCTCATGTTATAAATGTTATGTAAATATATACATATATATGTATAGCTATAATTACCTATATAAACTTGTGGTGTGGGAATTGTGAATGGTAAACAACTCCTCTACCACTGAACTATAGTCTAAATCTGTTTGTTTGGTTTTGGTTTCTTGGTTTGGGGTTTGTTTTTTGTGGATTGGGGGGGGGTGGGACAGGGTCTCTCTGTGTAGCTCTGGCTGTTGTAAACCTCACAAATATCCACCTGCCTCTGAGTACTGAGATTAAAGGTGTATGCCACCATGCCCAGCCAGCTAAGATGATTTTATTTCAAAGCCACAAACCTTTAAGCTCCCCCTCCCCAAATCGTTGAGGGAACAACTTACACAGATACATTCTTTTCAATTAGAACATTCTTCAAGTTGGGAAGAGAAGCTAGCCTTATCCACAACATGGAAAGCAGCACAGATGTTTGTAAACCTTGGCCTCAGACTTGGTTCAGCTGGCACGGGCATCTGCTATCAAGACTGATAACCTGAGTTGGATTTCTGAGAGTCCCACAGTGAAGGAAAGAACCCACTCCCACAGGCTCTTCTGACTTCCACACATATACTGACCATGGTATATACATGAAACCCCCATAAATAAATGTAGTAAAAATTTTAAAGTTTGTAAATCTTATTTTTATTTAAGTTTTTAAGATTCTTACTGAAGATAGAGCTCAGGAGTTAAGAGTCCTTGAAGCACTTCCAGAGGACTGGAGTCTGGTTCACAGCACTCAACGTCGGGCAACTCTAGGAGATCCAGTGCCCTCCTTCAGAGCACACAGACATATACACACGCACATGTGCACACTCACACATACACACATGCACATGCACACACACAGAGAAACATAAAAGAAGAACTCTCACTTAAAGACGGCAGCATGTTGAAGTGGACTTACTGGTAGCATCTATATGCAGTTCCTATTCAACAGGTTCGTTCGGGCAAGATGACTACTTGAGCTCAGGGAATCTCGGAAACTGTCCTTGTAGATGTATTTGTCTTTTCACCTATTTTATGAAGTGTACACATGGTACCTTCATGTTCAGTCAGTGGATGTGAACACTGAGTGCACACTCCACCCTTGGTCTTCCACTTGTTGCTTCCTAGAGAAACTACATAAGACACAGATGCAGTGACACTTTGATCTGGGTGTTTATAGGCACTGATTATGTGGGGTCTGAAGCCTACCCAGGGGATGTTTCACTGGTGACGTAAGTAAACTGGTGCTGTGCAGGGCAGGAAAAGGAAGAGCCCCAGTTGTCAACTGAGCCTACTCGCATCACAGGCGACTGAAAGCAAATTGTATATGTATGTCATCCCTTCCTGTAAGAACACTTATCTGTTTAAGGCTAGGCTGGTCCAGTATCAATCCCAGTGTAGGCCTCTGCATAGAGAACCCTGTTGTTATCAGGTTCAATAAACATTTACTAACATGTCAGTTATCCTCTGACATGTGCCAAGTACACAGTTTTGTTCCATTTAAACCTGGGCATAGTGGTGTGCACATGGAGTCCTAGCACTGATGCTACGGAGGTAAGAGGCTGCCTGGGGCTTGTTAATTAGCTGGTCTAGCCTACGTGAACTTTACATTCGGTGGAGACACATTGAAAAAGACACCTGATACCAGCCCCTGGCCTCCATAAACACCTGTGCACATATGCACAAACAAAAACCAAAATGACTCCAAGCAAATTTAATGCCACAGCCATTCACGTGGGATTCAAACAAACACTTTGCCTTTCTAGACCCATTCCCTAAAACTATCCCATTATAAGAACAGAATCTGGGCTGGGTTGGAATTCTAATAGAAGCCCTCTCTTTTCATAATCTGTACTATATAAGTAAGCTGTGACAACCATGAGGAGCCACAGTTACCAGAGTGTACACTATCACGTCACCATCAGAAGCACATGACTGGAGAACACTCACTGGTGTGGTTAGGACTGATCCTCCTAATCCACTCAAAGGCTTTCTACTTAAATTAGTTGGAGTCTGTGCTGACATAACCACTTACAGGTTTATTGGCAGAAACTTTACAAAGTTTATTCTCGGTATCTGATGTTACAAACTTTAGGGTCTTTGAGATATGCAGGATCCTTGTATGTAACTGGCATAAACCCTATAAAGAGATAATTAAAGTTCTTGACAAAGACAATGAACAAAATCTTAAATTAGTTCAACTCAGATGTGCAGGTGTACTTACCCATTTTCTGAGCTCTCTTAATGGCTTTAGTTATTTCCTTCTGTTTCTTTCCACAAAGACCTGTGAAAATAGAAGAGGTGCTTTTACAAGTCAGGGAATGTTATTACTACATTTATACCAGCTTTCTAAGTTGAAGAGCCAGAAAAGTAAATCTTTTGTGGGTCCTTTGGTCTCTCACACACTCTATTCTGTTACTGCAATAGAGTATCCAGTGAACAATCATGTGTCAAAAAGAAAACAAAAAGCCAAATGACGGTTTGGATATTAGCTATCAGTTGCTGGCACTAAGTTTTAGTATAGGAATGGTAATCTAAAAATGGATTTAGTTTTATTCTTTTCTTTTTTTTAATTTTTACTTATTTATTATATGTAAGTACACTGTAGCTGTCTTCAGACACCCCACAAGAGGGCATCAGATATCATTACAGATGGTTGTGAGCCACCATGTAGTTGCTAGGATTTGAACTCATGACCTCTGGAAGAGCAGTCAGTGCTCTTAACCACTGAGCCATCTCACCAGCCCTAGTTTTATTATTTTCAATTGAGTGCAGATGCTTACAAATGTGCTGGGAACTGAGGGTGCTCTCATCCTCGGTAAGAACGTGCATTTTAAACCACTGGGCCACCTGTCTAGACCCAAGACACAGTTTTCCTGTTTTTCCTAAGCCTAGATTTCTATATGTTGTCACCCTGTAGTTACTATGAGTAAAGGCAATGACCCCTTGCACTGAAGATAGTTTTCCCTAAGGACCTCACTCCAGGCCCTGTGGCATGATTTGAGAACTTGCCAGTCTCCTGAAATAACAGGCAATCAATGTGATTCTTATCTACACTTAAATTTATCTCTTTACTTTTGTTTCTTGTTTTCCAGACAAAGTTTCTCTGTGTAGCCCTAGCTGTCCTGGACTCAATTTGTAGACCAGGCTGGCCTCGAACTCACAGAGATCTTCCTGGCTCTATCTCCAGAGTGCTGGGATTAAAGGCGTGCACCACCACATTCAGCTTACAATTAGACTTCTATGATTAAAAACAAAAGTACCTGTTATGTGCCTTCCGTAAATGCATCCAGTAAATGGAGAGATAAACTGTGACAAAAGCTGTTGGGGGTTATGTTTAGAGAGGAAAAATAATATTAGTATTTGTTGTTCAACCCTAAATGTATAAGTTTACATTTTTTATAATGACCTTCAAGTTACATCTAATATGTTTCAGACAAAATTAATAACATGAAATAAAATACCTGGTAGCAACAAGCCATCTTTTAAAAAGTTATATCTAGTGTATCAAAAACTACACATGATCAAGGTTGGTGAGTCATCCTGTTCAGTTCTGTGGCTACTGACTCCTTAAACTACAGGCGTCTAAAATACTGCTGCTTACAGCCAGTTAGTGGGACATTTCCCGTCATGGCAGGCTATCAGACACACATTAGGGCATTTACTCTAACTTAATTTTATAGAACACTTAAATAACAGTTTTTAGGTACTGGGGACTGTATGGCTCCTCCCACAATTATTGCTGCACTGTAGTTTTATAATTTGTTCCATTTTCTCCTTCAAAAGTGGCTATTCATGTTACACTACTGTGAAAACACTTAACTATAATATCATATCATTCACTTTCCTAAATTTCTTATGTTTTGTTTTGTTTTGCTTTGTTATGTTTCTAGACAGGGTTTCTCTGTGTAGCCCTGGCTGTCCTGGAACTCACTCTGTAGACCAGGCTGGCCTCAAACTCAGAGAACTGCCTGCTTCTGCTTCCCTAGTGCTGGGATCAAAGGCGTGCACTGCCATCGCCCTGCTAAACTTGCTATTTCTAATTTGCTGAAAGCTTAAGGAGAAAGAGTATTTAAAGCAATAGCATATGATAGTGAACTGCAAAGGTCAACTTCCCAAGAGGAGCTTTTCCCAAAACACATGTCTATCAGTGTGCAGTAAGCTTCTGTGCAGAATCAGAAAAAGGAGAAAAACTAACCCAAATACTAGTGAAATGAGGGGAGGAGGGGGCTCCAAATTGAATAGAGCTAACATAGGAAGTTATAACAAGATTTGATATCTTGAAGTTGCTGAATCCTTCCTACATAAAACCTTCTGACAGTGACAATCCTCTGAGCAAATGAACAGAGCAGACTCAGTCAAGTGTCACAGAGGTAAAACCAACACTCACCTGCACATTCTTGTAATCTACACGTTTCTCACACAAGACACACTTCTTAAGAGGCTCCTTGTAGGGGTTTTCCATTGGGATTGGCTAGGACAAAAGGACAGTCTCATGATGAAAGTATGTTAAGACTAATCAGAAAAGTTAAAGCTACAGCTATAGTTATACATTTATATTATATATTATACAAATACTTTATTTTGTGTCAATCTGGCTAAAGAGAGATGGCCACCTTAAATATTCTGCCTTGAAGCAGAAAAGGATTTCTAAGATAAGTAAGTTGATAAAAGGATTCTTGCTCAAATGCTGTGTTTCAATTGCATATAATCAAAGCATCTTAATTTAAAATTAAAATCTATTTCAAGACAATTGCTTGGTATAAACATAATTTTATCATTCATTTTCTTTTAGATTAATTTATTAAAAGTATACATGTGCTAAGTCATTTATCCACCCACAAATTTCCTGTCAGGTGTTTTTCACCATTTTACTTTATTTTAATTAATTAATTTATTTATTTTTGGTTTTTTCGAGACAGAGTTTCTCTGTATAGCCCTGGCTGTCCTGGAACTCACTCTGTAGACCAGGCTGGCCTCGAACTCAGAAATCTGCCTGCCTCTGCCTCCCAAGTGCTGGGATTAAAGGCGTGCGCCACCACTGCCCGGCTACCATTTTACTTTATAAATAGACAATGTTCCATGGTTTGTTGCAATAAAAGGTTTGTAACCATCACCTTTATAGAGTGCTGTGTGAGTCTGTGTGGGTCCATGCACATTTTCTCACTTTGCAGTTTCTGACACAGTGCCTCCCTCTAACAACAAGAATAGTTGTCACCAATATAGTGACATTTAAAGTTTGGTGATCATACAAACAGAATTCAGTGTGTGTGTGTGTACGCACGTGCACTGGGCCCGAGTGTACAAGCTTGCATGCCTGTATGTAATTACGCTTTGTTCTTATTTACCCTCTACTCCTCTCAACCACCCTGCCTCCTTCCTCTTGTTGGTTCACTTCTTCATCCCAATAATACCCCTTTGTGCTCTTAAGACTAACACAGCATATATATTCCATGAATCTCTTTTGTAAAAATATAAAAAAGTTAGGATGAATTTAGAAATGAATTAGTAATATAACGGTGGGGGGGAGTAATCTGGGGCTGAACAGGCATCAGCACTTAAAATCACTCCCTAATCTTACTGAGACAGGGTTTGGATACCAGCACCCATATCCAGTGGCTCACGACCACCTCTAATTCCATCTCCAGGAAGATCCAATGCCCTCTTCTGGCTTCCACAGCTTTTCCCTCCCACCCCCCATGTACAGACAAATAATAAAATAATGTTTTCTTTAAAAAATAAAAAGGAATCTTACCAAGTCTTCATTGCTGGTTATCTGTTCATACTGTGAAAAACATCTCCACAGCACAGAAACTAAAGAGAAAATGGTGATAGCACAATTGTTTTCATTCGCTGAATATCTAACCAAGACTTACAGTTTTTAAAGAGGCTAGATTAATCAAAAGTCACAATATGAAACATTCTTTTCACTCAGTGATTAGTTAACATCCTGTTAGATTTGGGACACCAGAGGACTCAAAATGAGAAATTCCAAAGACTTTAAATAAAGGACATATATATTCCCTCTCCTATAAAACCTTTCCCCTTTCTACCGTTACGGGTTATAATGTATAATGTATGTACAGAAACAACAGAATGGTACTGTCATTCCAAAGGGAAAACAAAAAGACACAAGTCATTGACAAAGAAGCATAAAAACAAAACAAACTAAAAGAGTTGACTACATCTTGTAGACAGGAGCCTAGATAACTGTTTCCTGAGAGACTTCATCCAGCAGCAGATGGAAACAGATGCAGAGACCCACAGCCAACAATAGGCAGTGTCCAACAAATCTTATTGAAGAGTCGGGGGGATAGGTTGGGGAGGGGTCAAGAACACAAGAAGTCAAAGTCAGCTAAGCAGGGCCCATGGGGGCTCACAGAGACTGAACTACCAACCACGTAGCATACAGGGGCTGGACCTGGGCCCCCCTACACATTTGTAGCAAATGTGCAGCTTGGTCTTCATGTGGGCCCCTTAACAACTGGAGCGGAGCCTGTCTCTGACTCTGTTGCCTGCCATTTGGATCCTCTTCCTCTAGCTGTACTGTCTGGTCGGGCCTCAGTGGGAGAGAATGTGCCTAGTTCGAGGCCAGGGTGGTACCCAAGGGGGGGTATTCCCTTCTTTGAGGAGAATGGGGGAAGTGTAATGGAAGAGGAGGAGTTTATGAGGATAGGACTGGGGGGAGGGGGCTGCGATCGGGATGTAAAGTGAATAAATAATGGGGAAAAATAGTTGACTACACCTGAAAGTCCTCTTCGCTCTAGGAAACCAGTCTAGGGCGACTCGAGCTTCCCACCTGTCTCAAACCTAGGCGTGTAGAAATAGTCATTTTGCTAACGGCGAAGACCCCACCGACAATCAGAACCGGACTACGGCTGCAGTGCTATGCCGGACATTTTACCCGCGTGAGTTCCGCGATCCGTGAAGCAGTCAGCCGCGGTTGTCAAGTTCTTCCTCCCTATACCACGGCACACAGCAATCAGGGCTGCCATGGTTCTCTGCCCTTCCTCTTCCTTTCCGGTCCCTAAGCGCCCGACAGGTCCCTTCCGGTACTCTTCCCCTGCTGGCCCGCGATTCTACGCAAAGGTTCCGGTGAGAACGCGGCCAGGGTTTCAGTGCACAGCACCTCTGCGTTCCCGCGCTCGCCGGGCCGGAAGTCACGTGACACACGGGCTGCGCTGCAATGAGATGGAGAGCTGATGCTGGGTCACCTGCTTACGGCTCCAGAACGGCGGCACCAGCCCCTGTCTGCACCGAGGGCGGCTGTCGCAGGGACTCTCGACCGTCGTCATGGAGGACGGCTGTCCCCGCATCCGCCGGCGAGTGTCTGTCTGCAAAAGGAACCGCGGCAGCCCAGAGAGCCTCGGTGTTTCCCGGACCCTGGCCGAACTCCAGCCCGCCGAGGACACGGAGGACGAAACTGCGGCGGGGAGCCGCCGGCGGAAAACCGGGAGCCCAGAGCCCGCCCAGGTACAGCCCTGCTGAATCCCCGCATCCCCGCAGATTTGCTCGGTCCCGTCATTACGGGGGCTGCGGTGACAACTATGTTCCCCGTCCCGGCACGGCTGCGCGGGAGGTGAAACCGCCTTCTTCCCAGATGCACACCATTGACCGGTTAGATGAGTAGCCTTCGCTCGCTCGTTCTTCTCACTTTTGTTATCCTTTATCTCCAGCACTTGGAAGACACTGCCTTAAACTCCCGACTTCTAGGTAGATGTCAAACCTACACAATCCTTCCATCCCCTGTCGTAAAAAGTGTTCATGGGGCAATTAACTGGCTTGACACACAGAAAGCGAGGCTTCCAAATGGCTCGTTTCTACTTTACTAATAAAAATTTTTTATTGATGACCCATTAAGTGCTACTTACGTTATTAAACTAGCCATATTATATAGATTTTAAAACAGTAACTGAGTCCTGGGAAGTTGAGAGACAAAAGTTGTGACTCAATAAATAATTACTATCTCCCAGTTTAAATCTCTGTTCTGTAAGCCGCCCTACATGAGTGTGTACATAACTGTCTCAATTCCAAGTTCAGAACAGAATTTCATTGTAGTGTCTAGTGGTACAATCACGGTTTTGTAGCAGACCGGCTTCTACATTAGTGCCTGGGCCAAAGTTACCGCAGTTATCAGGAGCATCTATTGAACCTCGTAGATGGCTACTGTTCTTTCGTTCCTTAATGCTTTAGCACAGGTTTAAAAATTAAAATGCCAAAGACCAGGGGTTTGTGTTCAGCAGTGGAGCCTGGGGTAGGCCCTGGGCTCACACCAAAGCACCAGAATAAATAATTTAGAATTCCAGTATTACCCCTTGGGCTGAGCTGTTGATGTAGCTGAGTTGGCAGAATGCTTACTTAGAATGCCTAACACCCTGGGTTTGATCCCAACACCTCATAAAACCAGGTATGGTGATGCATTCAGGAGACAGAGGCAGGAGGATCAAGACTGTAGCTTCTGTTAGATGAGATCCTGTCCTGGCTCAAAAAAAAAAATGTTTTTAAGCATCCTGATATCTCATACATAATAATCCAGCAGTACCATTTAGGCAAGTCAGATCAACTCTCTGGACTTGTTTCTTTTATTTGGTGATGATAATATGTATTCAGAGGATAATTTGCATATGGTGATATATTTGGGATAGTCCTTTGCTGGAACTTTTTTTTTTAATGAGGATGGAATTCATGTATGTATCTTTGTTTCCTCTCAGGAAAATGACAGCGAAGAAGACATGTTTGGTGACTATAACAGCTTTACAGAAGATTCCTTCTTAGCTCAAGTTGATGACCTAGAACAGAAATATATGCAACTGCCTGAACATGAAACAGATTCTGGCACCAGAGACCTTTGTTCAGAAGGCATCAAAACCAACCTTGGGATTAATACTGTAAGCGACTTTACTGACTCTGAAACTAATGAGCGCATAAAGAGGCAGAGTGTTCTAGATGACCCCGGTGAGCCAGAACCTGGACGTGATCTTTCGTTTGATGTGCCTTCTTCTCAAATTTTATACTTTGAAAATATGCAGAACTCTTCAAAAGCTTTGGGCGATCAGTCTACTAAGGAAAGAGATGGGAACTCACATAAGTCATCGAATGACAACTTGACCTACAGCCACATAGAGCAACCCCAGCAAAATAATCACTTCTCTAATGTCGGGGTTTCTTCAGAGATGAGCAGGAGAAAAAGTATTAGAGACCATCTGAAATCTGCCATGGCTGGGAATGCCAGGGCCCAGACCCCAGTGTTTCCCAGGAGTAAACAACTCAGAGAGACTCTCCTGTCTGAGGAGATCAGCGTTGCTAAGAAAGCCATTGAGTCACCGTCAGATGATCTTGGCCCTTTTTATTCGCTACCCAGCAAAGTGAGAGACCTCTATGTTCAGTTGAAAGGAATCAAAAAACTATATGGTAATACATTTTATGAAACAGAAACCAAATTTATAATTCAAATAGTATTATGGTATTCATCCAAATCAGTGGAAGCAGGTGGTTCTTTGGTTCTGTATCTCATCTCGAATGGCCAGAATATCAGTTGCGTTATTAACCCTGCATGCCTGTTGTGGGCTTCTTTCCTTCCTCGTGTATCGCCCTTCTCAAGCTGGTGACTGGCTTTGTCTCTTGCCTGAGTAGTCTTCAGTCCACTCACTTCTGTGCCCTCACTTGAGTTTACTCTGACACGCTTGCAGAGCGGCTTCTCGTTCTACCATGGACCACACAACTGAGTTTTCATCCCTCCATGCTCTGCTTCTGACTTTTTCCTCTGATTAGCTTTATTGTTTCTTTGCCATTTATAGTTGTTGAAATTCCTTTGAATGCTCAGAGTCATAAGTGAAGGAAGTCAGTAATAGCAGTTAAAATTAGACACATTTAAAGATGGCTAAGATTTAAGTGCAAAAAAGACTGCAGTAGGGGGCTAGAAAGTTGGCTTAGTGGTTAAGAGCAGTGCCTGCTCTCCTAAAGGACCCAGGTTTAATTCCCACACGACAACTCACAACTGCCTGTAACTCCAGATCCAGGAGATATGACATCATCACACATACGTACAAGCAAGAAGGACACCAATGCACATAAAATAAAAATCATTTTTAAAAAAGACTGCAGTAATAATAATGTGATGTTTTTCCAAAGTCCCACGTCCTTGCATATATTTCAGAGAGACCATGGTAAACAAGGGGACAGCAGCTGCCGTACTAGGAGATCAGCCGCCACTGAAAGAGTCCTTGGGAGATCTTTTGAACTATTTGAAGACATGGATTGTCAGAAGACAGTCAGGTTGAAGTAGAATGATAGGGAAATACAGACTACCTTACCTTCAGACAGTAAGAATCTAGACCCCTTGAGGGTAGGATTTTAGGGCTCTCCTATTTTGTTTTGCTTTTGAGGTCTGTAGATATTTTGTGGTATTTGACATTGAACCCATGACATGATAGGTACTCTGCCACTGAACTGTATTCCAAGCCGTCGTGTTTTGAAACAGGATCTCACAGCACAGACTTGCCCCAAACTAGTGCTCTTTCTACATCTGTGTCCTAAATACTGAGATTACAGGCATGTAACACAGTGCTCAGCTAGGATAGGACTGGAACTCAACAGTTAAGTATCTAGCACTGTACTTAGTATATTGTGCTTTACAGAGTCCTAAACTGCCAGATTTTGTCAGCCTCTTTAACTCTGGCCTTGTGGCTTAAACTGCTGTATCTATTTAAAAGGAAATGGGGGAGCAAACAATTGTTTTGTAGTGTAGTTAAATTCTTTGTCAAATACATGATAATTTAATCATAACGACTGTCAGTTATATCTATAGCGTCTAAGTAAAAACCTCAGGAAACAGCTTTGCATATGTAAGAGAGAGTGCATATGCACCTGTGTAGCCAAGTCGGTATAAACACCTGCAGTTTCGTAACTGGTGGCTAATACCAATCTGAAACACTTCATTTACAGTTTAAACATTTTGGTTTATTTATGGTCTGGAGATCAAATCTAAGACCTTGCACATTAAACACACACTTTACTACTAAGATGAACCTCTCAGCTTAATATTTTTTTAAGATTTATTTATTTATTTATTTTATTTATATGAGTACACTGTAGCTGTTTTCAGACACAACAGAAGAAGGCATCAGATCCCATTGTTACTCAGGCATAACTATTTTAATGCCGTGCTTTGAGGAGGGGTCTCATTGTAGCCCTGGCTGGCCTGGAGTTCACAGCAGCCTACCTGCCCCTCCCTCCCTAGTACTAGGATTAAAGGTCTGTACACACTCCCAGCCTCTTTTCTAAAAACAATATATTTAAGCCCTTTAAATTAAATTTGGGGCCGGGCAATGGTGGCACATGCCTTTAATCCCAGCACTTGGGAGGCAAAGGCAGGTGGATTTCTGAGTTCGAGGCCAGCCTGGTCTACAGAGTAAGTTCCAGGATAGCCAGGACTACACAGAGAAACCCTGTCTCGAAAAAAGAAAAAAATTTAACTTTGGGATGAATTCTCTTAAATTACTTTAAGTGTGTAAATTGCTCAGTTTTCTATTCGTTTGTTTTGTATACTTGTATGAATATGTGTGGATCGCACATGTGAGTCAGGACAACTTGTAGGATTTAGTACTCTCCATTCACTGTGAGTCCTTGGGATTGAGGCTTGGCAACAAATGACCTTACACACCAAACCTTCTCACTGGCCCTAGATTCCCATTTTAGCTGTGAATTACATAAGTGCAGTAGCTTTTTAGCTTGTCCCCACCGCACCCGTTAGACAATGATGCGATAAACGTTCTGCACGACTGTTCGTGTCCTACTCTATGTGTTGGAGAATCCTGGAGGAAATGCTGACGTTCCAAAAAGACCCTGGCAGCTGATGTTTTTCTCACAAACCATACTAGTGGTTTCTTCCCTCTGTACTCTGCTCTGGGTTTTCTGTGTGCGATTTTTTTTCCTTCCTGTTTGTTTTATTGATTCTGTAGGTTACTTGTTTTTATATATCGACTATTTTGCCTGTTTCTCTAATGATAAAATACTACTGTTTGGGCTAGAGAGATGGTTCAACAGTAAAGAACACTCACTGATCTTTCAGAGACCTGGTCCATGTCTCAGCATCAGGGTACATATAAGTGGTGTGATGGCATATATGTATGTATATTTATACATACATACAAGCTAAACAACCACACACAGGAACATACTAGCATTCACTGTTGATATGCACTTCAAATTACTTCCATTATTATCATTTTGATCCAGGGCCTCATGGAACCCAGTCTAGCTAAGTAGTTGGGGAAGAACTTGAACTTCCAATCTCTCTGTCTCCACTACTCAGATGCTAGGATTACAGGCATGAGCCACCAGACGCCTCTTACTGGATGCTGGAGATGGAATGCAGGCCTTTGTACATGCTGGGTGAGCACTCTACCAACTGAAGTAAATCCTAAACCTTTAATTTATTTTGCAGAGTGCCAGTTTTCACAGTGTTTCCTGTGTTCTGCTTTCCTCGATTATTTCTCACTGACTGGGGGTGGGAACAACACAACTATGGATGTGCCAGTTAGTAACCAAAGCCTTTATGGTTTAAATAGTCCTTATGTAATATGATATCTGGGCTAATCAAAAACCATTTGAGGGGGCTGGAGAGATGGCTCAGTGGTTAAGAGCACTGACTGTTCTTCCAGAGGTCCTGAGTTCAAATCCCAGCAACCACATGGTGGCTCACAACCATCCATAGTGAGATTGGATGCCCTCTTCTGGTGTGTCTGAAGACAGCTACAGTGTACTCATAATAAAATAAATAAATAAATAAATCTAAAAAAAAAAAAACCATTTGAATGCTTAGGAACCAGAGGACCATTAGGAACTTGAATTGTCCATAAGAGAGCTAACTGAAGACTTGTGGCTTGTGCAGATCTTGCAGATTTCCTTTTCTTCCTCTCCCTATTTCTGCAAAGAGGCTCTTCAGTGGGTGAGGGAGGTAAGCTATTCGATCTTGAAGAAGAAGGAAGGTTTTAGAATGACCACAGGTTCTCACGCTGCCTTTGGCCACAGGCAACTGTCTGCCCTGCTGGAATCTGACACCTGCAACTGTAACTATTGTAAGGCAAGCCGGTTGCCCACCTGTTGACAAGGTCTGAGGTCAGACTTGCTGGTGGTGCACATTGAAGACAATGGGCACTTACCATCTATAAGAATCATATTTATCCTCGTGAGAAGATTGCCACATTGAGATACTGGATTTCCTCCCAGAAAAAAATCTGGAGAGCATAGCAGGGAAAATAATCTCTTCCATTTTTCTTTAAATCCTACAGACTGGCAACATACTTGTTTAACATTAAGATCTGTGCAAGAAAGAAAAAATTTAATATATTCCTTGCCAACGAGTGGTGGAAAGACCCTTGTGGCTGAGATCTTAATGCTACAAGAACTACTCTGCCGACAGAAAGATGTTTTAATGATCCTTCCATATGTGGCAATTGTCCAAGAAAAGGTGTGTGTGGTTAAATGGTTGTAACTTTCTAATGTGACATTCTCAGATCTAAGGACTAGCATAAATGTATTAACTTTGAGCTGATTCATGATATTTTTTCAGAATATACAAAACTAACACAAAGTACTTAACTGTTTTCAAGTAGTAACTGCATATAGTTTTCTCTGAAGTTGCTTTGAGCTGTATCTTAAATGTTCCATTAGTATTTAGCCTGTTTTTCCAACCAGAAACCAGCCCATTACCTCATCAGGATAAATGAATCAATCCGATGTGGCTTTTACATAAAAGACGAACAAGTGAAATCGGTTTTCATATTGTAATTTAACAGTTATGCCGGGCGGTGGTGGTGCACGCCTTTAATCCCAGCACTCGGGAGGCAGGCGGATTTCTGAGTTCGAGGCCAGCCTGGTCTACAGAGTGAGTTCCAGGACAGCCAGGGCTATACAGAGAAACCCTGTCTCAAAAAACAAACAAACAAAAACAAAACAAAAAGCAGTTAACACATGCCAGGGTTGCAGAGGAGGAGGTTAAGAGCCTTGGCTGCTCTTCTGGATGCCTTAGGTTTAACTCTGAGCATCCACCATCTGTAACTCCAGTCAGAGGGAATCCATCACCCTCTTTGGCTTCTGCCACTGCATACACACTGTGCACAGGTATGTATGTAGACAGAACACCCATCCACATATAATAAAGAGTTAATGTACTCTTTTGGTAAAGATCACAGCCTTATTTAAAAACCAGCAGTTCCTAGCTAGGCTTTCCTAGATTGAACTCGCAGATGGGGACAATTTTAGATTAAGGGAATCCCTCTGACTTTTAACTCAACCTCTGATTTGTGGTTTTGTTTATTTAACTGATATTCTAGATTTCCAGTTTGTCAAGTTTTGGTATAGAACTTGGTTTCTTTGTTGAAGAATATGCTGGAAGCAAAGGAAGATTTCCTCCAATTAAAAGGAGGGAAAAGAAATCACTGTATATTGCCACTATCGAGAAAGGGCACAGCCTGGTGAACGCCTTGATTGAATCCGGAAGGATCAGCACTCTAGGTCTGGTTGTCGTCGATGAGGTTGGTTAACGTCGTGTTTCTGATACTAGCTCATTCCCCCAGCTATGGTTTGGATCCTCTTGGTAGTTAACACAGAGAGAGCACAGGGGGAGACACTCCATGGTGAATAATCTTAAATTAGGTCTCTTGCAGCTGTTTCTTGAAATGTGAATGTGTCTGTGGAGATATTTTATAATGATACTCATGGAATCCCAGATGTATCAGGATACCGCCCCGATTTTTAATAACCTAAAGCGTTAGTGAAATAGTACTAGAGTTCTCATACCCAGTGCTTGTTCACTCTGCACAAAGCAGCTGTTGTATATGGACAAGAAATGAAGTCTGACTTTTACTCCCCACCTTTAAATCACAGCTGCACATGATTGGGGAAGGGAGCCGTGGTGCCATACTGGAGATGACCCTGGCGAAAGTCCTCTACACCAGCAGTGAGTGTTGATTTGTCAGTTCTGTATGTGACCGACATAATTCTATCACTAGGTTACATTGCCTTGAACAAGATAGCTAAGATTCCTGTCTCAGCTTGTAAGCTCAGTAGGTTTTTTTGTTTGTTTGGTTTTTTTTTTTGCAAGAATTTGATGGATGAGGATTACAAAGGTGCTTGCAGCAGGGCTGTTCCCAGACAGCTGCTGTTGCACGCTTAGTCACACCATCAGCCTCCATATCTGTGAGATGGGGACAGGGATGGTGCTAGCCTGGTGAGACAGTTTTGAGGTTTACACGAGAACTCGGGCTGCTTCTCTATGGCTCCATGGTCCACTGCCACCACTGTCCATGACATCATCGCTGTCCTCCCAGTAGAACAACATGTACTTTTAAAGACAGTCTTACTCTAGAGCTCTAGCTGGCGTGGAACTTGCTTGTAGACAGGGCGGCCTCAAAGGCACAGAGACCCCCGCCTCTGCCTCTGAGTGCTGACATTAAGGGCTTGCACCACTCCGCCTGGCAAACTGGATTTAGGTGGTCACTTGAAGGAACTATTTTGCAGCATCCAATTATCTTTAAATATTCATAAAATATTCTAAAAATCTATATTTATCCATGTGGTATTGTGTTTACAGATGGAAAACTATAATGTCATTTGATACAATGTCATTTCATTGGAAGATGCTAGCAATTGGCTCCAGAATATCACATATTCTGATTTTGTACTCAAGTCCTGAGTTACTACACCTCTGGCCCCAAGAATGGTTTTAAAATTATGAAAGTAATTGCATTTATGCAGATTGTAGCAGCATGCAGTCTTATCTTTCCTTTTCAAGTTACTGAGCAGCTACTGTTTCCAGACAGTTTCTAGTGCTAGAGTTACCAGGGGGAGTAGTTCCTGCCAGCATCCGAAATGTACATCAGGGAGAATGAAAGGACAGTGAGCCATAGAGTATTCTACAGTTCCATCAGGGCAGAGGCATGCAGTCCTGGCCAGTGTGCAGTCCTGCCATCACTGGCTTATCACTGTCCCAACTGCAGTCTTTTCATAGTTGTCGGAAATGTGAAATGTCTTTCTAGAGGCAGGCTCCTGGGTACCAGTGCCCCAGCCTTTTCTTTAGCTCAGCATGAGTCCCCTAAGGAAGTTACCTTTCCAGAAGTCCATCATTTCAGTGGTCTGATCAGAAAAGAGGAACTTAAATGTCTCCTTAGAATATCCTCGTTCCTGCCAGGATGGTTATGATACTGTCATCTTACTCCAGACTTCGAGGACTGGCTGTGTGTTGTGGTCTGTATTTCCAGGTTACACTTCCTTTCCAAGTAGTATCTGCTAGGTGAATGTTCTGTGAGCAGCCACCATCACCTAGAGTTCATTTCCTTTAAACCCATCACCAGAATCTTACAATCTTTTTAAATTTCCTCATTTCAATGCTGCCCAGACTGTCCTTCTGGCTCCAAGTGATCCTTCTACCTCAGCGTCCCAAGCAACTGGGTCTTGTAATCTTTACTCTTTAACACTGGCAGCACCCAGTTCCTATCTGGTCACCCCAAGAATCTGCTTGAGATTCTCCTTGCCCCTTGGCACTGACTCTTCAGTTGAACGTCTCTTCCTTCCTGTCAGATTGCCACAGACAGCACCAGATTCCTCTCTACTCGTGTCGTGGTCTCTCACCTCTTCCCCCTCCAAGACCGACTTATCTAGTGTAGATACAACGATCTTCACCAATGCAAATCCAATCACAGTTTTACCATTTGCCTCCTGTAACAGGCTCCTCATTTTCTGCACACACCCCAGGGTTTCGAGCACAGCCTTTCTTGGTCAGTCCAATGCTTGCCTGTTCAGCTTGTAATCCACCTTGTGCAGGCAGTATCCTGAATGGTCATTTCAAGGTATGAGATAGTGTCAATGAAGAGACATGCTAGGAAGGCTTAGCTTTGGGTTTAAAGAAGTAGCTATGTCTAGAAGTTCATCTAGCTTTATTTGTTGTTCCATCGTAGCTCTTTTTGTTGTTGTTTTGTTTTAAAGATTTATCTATGTATATGGGTGCTCTATTTGCATGCATGCCTGCACACCAGAAGAGGGCCTCGGGTCCCATGACAGATGGCTGTGAGCCACCATGTGGTTGCTGGGAATTGAACTCAGGACCTCTGGAAGAGCAGTCAGTGCTCTTAACTGCTGAGCCATCTCTCCAGCCCCTGTTTTTGGTTTTTAAACATTGTCCTATGTAGATCAGGACGGCTTTGACCACCTGATCCTCCTCTTCTGCCTCTCAGGAACTGGGATTATGGTCCTGCACCCCATCATGCCTGGTTTTTCAGAATAGTTTTTTAAGTTGACAACATAAGAGACTTTTCGTATGACACAAAAGTTTGAATATAATGCATAGCTGAGCATAGTAATATACATCTGTAATTCCACACTCGGGAGGCTGAGATGGAGGATTGGTGTGATCTTTAAACTAGCCTGGGCTGTACAGTGGACTCAAGGCCGGCCAGCACTGCATGATCAGACTCTAGTATTGGTTAAAGAGTGTGGGACTCCTTTAGCCCTGCATCCTCTACAGCTGTCAGATGGACAACCACATTCCAGGAAACCAGAACTCCAGAACAGTCTAAAACTTCTTGTGTGCTAATATAACACCACAAGTGGAAAACGCTATTGTTGTCATTTGATGGGGCACAGTGAGAGTCCAGCTTAACATAGGTATATATGAAACAAAGAATTATGTGGTCAGACTTTGGTCACTTCAAGATCTTCTTTATGTATATGCAAATATTATGTATATGCAGATATTCCAAAATCTGATAAAAAAAAAATCCCAAATCCAAAACAGTTCTGGTCTAAATATTTCATATAAACTTCATCTTGTTCCCTGACTCCAGAACATTCAGACAGGATAGCCCTAAAGTATTGCTAATGTTTCTTTAGGACATAAATGAGATATTTCCCTAATATTTTGATTTGTTTTAGAAACAACTCAGATTATCGGCATGAGTGCAACATTAAACAACGTAGAAGACCTACAGGCGTTCCTTAAAGCTGAGTATTACACCAGTCAGTTCAGACCAGTATGTACCCAAGGTTTGCGCTGTATTGCTTCTTCTGTATTCCTCTTAGAAACGAGTGGTGAACGTAGTGTATTGTAAAACAGCTGAGTGTGAGAGGTGCGTAGTTCACTCGCCATAGCTGTGTAATAACAGTTTACGCATGGAGAATGCCAGCTGAGGCTGGGGGCCTTAGCTTGAGTCACTCGTGTGTTATACCTGAGACAGTGACCAAGAGCGAGCCCCAGTGAATGCTTTCTCAATGGGCTCTCCCAGAACTTGTTTTATGTCTCACTTCTTAGTATCTAAAGTCAGGTTTTTAATTGGGCAAGATTTCAAGAGATACACACGGACCTGCTGTCAACATTGAGAAATTACCTTAGTTCCCGCTTCAGGAACACATATGCTAAATCAGAACAGTGCAGACACTTAGCACGGCTCCCATGCAAGGGTGACATGAAAATTAATCACACACTCCATAGTTCCAGACTCACAGAGCCCCACCCCAAGTGGAGAGCAAAGAATTGTGTGGTCAGACTTCAGTCACTTCAAGATCTTCTTTATGTATATGCAAATATTATGTATATGCAGATATTCCAAAATCTGATAAAAATCCCAAGTCCAAAACACTGCCAGCCAGAGGTCATGGCACTGACTGCTCTTCCAGAGGTCCAGGGTCAATTTTCAGCGTCCACATGGTGGCTCTCAAAGTTCTTATATACTCCAGTCCCATGGGACTCAATGCCTTCTGGCTCCCAGTGATACAGCACATATGTGGTGCACAGGCAAAATGCAGGCAAAACACCCATACATATAAGTTAAAATAAAAGAAGGAGAATCAGACTTCTCAGGGAAGAACATCCTGATAGGTTTTCCGAACTAAACACTTATGCATACAAACAATGCTGAGTGAACTCAGTAGGGTGCACGGATGTGTGTGTGTGTGTGTGTGTGTGTGTGTGTGTATGTGTGTGTGTGAGCGCAATAATAATCTTTTTAAAAAAAGAGGTCAACTTGAGAAAGAGCAGAGGCAGAGATGGGGTGGAAATGATGTAAATCTAATACTTTTGTATGGAGTCTTTAAATTATTTTTTTATTTAAAGAAATTAATTACCTTAGCAAGGCTTGATAGTGCAAACATGTAATCCCAGCATTCGGGAGGGTAAGGTAGGGGAGCTTGAGTTTTAGGCCAGCCAGAGCTACATACTGAACTCAGCTAGCCTGGGCTGTTAGCAAGACCCTGTCAAGGAAAAGGCTTATAAAATCTTTTCATGTGCCTGTGCTTCGGTAGTTACAGTTCTTTTAAAAATAAGCTAAGGTTTGGCATGGACTTTTTCTCCTTGCTTTTGAGACAAGGTCTCGTATCCCAGACTGTTCTGGAACTAGCTACCTAGCCAAGGATGGCCATGAACTCCTAATCCTCCTGCCTCTACCTCCCCTGTGCCGGGATTATAGGTTCAACACCATACTTCACTTACATGGATTTAAATTTAAATCTAATAACAGCATTCCTAAAATATTTGGCAAAGTAAAAGTGTAACTCATAGTTACTTGAAGATAATGTGTAATGTACTTATACTGTCTGGCTGAAGTATCAGTGTGGATGTTCTGTGTCTAGGTTTTTAAATAATAATCTTGAGGGTCACTGAATATTATCTTGAAATGTATTGTTTTACACTTGTACAAAACATAAAAACTTTCAGAAGATATTTTCTGACTTTAGATGTGCACTTAAGAATCTATTCTTTTTTGTTGTTGTTGGGCTGTGGTGGTGCCTTTAATCCCAGGCAGAAGCAGGTGGATCTCTGAGTTCAAGGTCAGCCTGGTCTATGGAGCAAGTTCCAGGGCTGCATAGACAAGCACCCTTCTTGGGAAAACAGACGGATAAACAAAAATCCCTCAAGACTCCAATTTTAAAAACTAGTGAATGGAGGGCAGGGGAGAGCCAGTTCAGTGACAGAGGGTAGGGGAGAG